GCGCGTTGCGTTTATGTTGGGTGATTTTCTAACCCATGACAAAAGCCTTTAACACATACTGCGGTATCTGGTCTTCTGGTCGATCAGTTACTGGGGGAAGATGACCTAATTACTCTGTTGTTTATTACTACACAGCTCTGATTTATTTCCCCATGCTGATGTAATTTCAACACAGTCTTTCTCTTCAATAACAGCAGCAAGATGCATTTTTTGTGTGTGTTCATACACACGCTCATGCACAATGATCTATTGTGACACACCTAATACACAAAAAAAGCACACAAATGCTCATACATCAGCACAGTCACTCTTTTCCTGGCTCCTCGCGACAGGCCCAGATTCATTTGCATCCTTAATTGTGTTGTAATGTACTTTTAATTTGAAAATGGAGGCAATTAATTATTTTGATATGGAACAAAATGCCGCAAATGTAAACATTCTAATAGTTCTCTGTGAACAGAGTATCATTTTTCAAAAGAGGGATTGAATCTTATCTCATTTTTTAATGCCATACCAGTTGTTTTTTTTTATACCGTTTCACCACTCACGCATTCTCCTTGATATTCACTTTGTCTTTGCAGCGAGGGCAATGTTTCTTTGATCTATTCCACTGCTGTTACTTTCTATCTAAATCTCCCACAGGATAATTACTATACTGTAGTTTCACCTATGCTATCAGAAGAGATTAAATTAAATTAAGCCTGTTTGGACGTTCTGCTTCTTCTCCGTACATCACCCCTCTGGTGTAAAGCTACTAACACTGGTCTATCTTCTTTCTGTTTCTGGGTCAGAGAGGCTTCAAGTGAAGATGAGAATTGCAGATTAAATTTTTTTTCCCTCCACCGACCATGTGATCAATAGGTGTCAGTGTTCAAAGGATGCATAGCAATGCCGGAGGAGAAGAGAGGAGAGGAGGATCCATTTGTACAGGCTCTGGAAAAAACTGACACTTTCACTCCTCAACCTGATAAACTCACCACAGAGAGGAACAGGATGGATGCATGTTATTTTTTTCCCTATTTTCACCCATCACCATCACCTTTTCTCCCTCATTCCCTTTCTCCATACTCTCTCTCTCTTACACACACACACACACACACATTTTCTTTCCTCTTATATCTCTATCCCCCACTCTTCACCCATATCTCTTTCAGTCGCTCTCTTCTGATTCTCCTGAGGGTGCTAGGAGCTCGCTGACATCACAGCCGGCCTGGCAACAGCCTATAAATTATGAGTGACAAGTCTTTGGACCAATAAAAGCACCACCATATTTCATGCACAGTAAATCTGATTGCAGATTGCTCTGGCGTGTGGCGGCTGACATGTTTATTGTCGTCTCGGTGGCGGGAGCCGAGGGTGGAGAGGTGGAGTGCGGGGGGGTGCTCCACAACATCAGAATTTTCTAAAGCTTCCAGTCTATATGGAGGTCAAACAGATGGGAACTCTGGCATGCTGGCGACCTCATCTACCCACCCGACAACCCCCCAAAATCCCCCCAAACAAACACACACACCAATGTCAACTCACCATACATCCATAAGAAAGCTATTTTTCCTTCAGCTTGTACAAAGCCATGAAGTCGCTGCTTTCAATGCAACCATCTGTCCTCAGTCGGCATGTTCTGAGGTTACACCCAACAACACCATAGCTCTTTTTTTTCTTTTTAAAGAGAGACTATCTAACTTTTGAAAAAATTTTCTAACCTTTTTTTTTAGTCAGGGTATGTACTCTGAGAGGCCGCCTCTCATTTCAGAAGAGAAAGGTCGCTCACTAACCTTCAGGTCACCACTGTCTCCATTTCATACTCAATCCCACACCACTCTCCATGCTGTAAATACTCACTAGAGAACCAAAGGGGTATTAATCATCTACTGAGAACAGCCCCTAACTATTAACCTTGTTTGAATTTGTAAAAAAAAAAAACCTACAATGCCCAGCTGTTACTTGCATATTCAGAAGGAAAAACCAGGCTTGTGGTTAAGTGCCACACACAGCACAGCAAAGATGGTCATTACTACAAGAGGATCTGAAAGCACAGTTGGGTTGCTCCAGTGTAGTCGCTTCACCTCAGCCAACTATATTTACACCTGGCTAACATGTTAATACATGAATAATAATGATCTAGTCGTGTAACAAAAACAAGGGCTGATGTGCATAATGAATATTTTCACTTCTTTACTTTCTACTACAAACACTTTAATTACATTTATTGCAAGAGCTTCTGTACCTTTACTAAATTAAAATACTGACTGCAGGACTTTTACTTGTAATGATGTGTTATTGATGCCTTTAGCTAAATAAATTATATGAGTATTTTCTTCCAAACACTGCAGCCTTAACATTTTAAACAGATAGAGCTGTACAGCAGGTCTTACATAAACAGTTGCCTGACTTTTTAAAGCATTTACTATCATTCCATAATTGGAACTTGTGGCCAAAGTGGCCACTGTTGTGCCATACTTAGACTTTATTAGACTTTATACTTAGACATCACTTTATTTTGGCTCCATCTTTGCTAAGTATTCATTTCAGCCAAAAAGTAATCAGCAGTACAAAGTGTTTGAATTTGTAGAGGGTTCCCTTTTCTTTGTTTATTTTGCAGTGCTTCATTATCACTGCTCATTCTGACTTTATTGTTCCCCTTTTATTTCTTTCCTAACTAACTGTCAGAAACATTACATTTATCATTTTCTGTCTGCTAGTGATTTTTTTCTAGGAAATAGACCAACACCAACTAAGAGCTTAAACGCACTGAATTATGATTGTGTCTACTGGCAATAGGGTGTAAAAATGTTCATTCTTTTACTAGAAAATTGTGGACACCCACACAAAGTATCAAATAACAGAATACACTCTACAGTATTTGTTTAGGCTCCAGAAAACACAAAGTGAGTGGCCATCATCAACTGAATAAAAAATGTCTAATCTCAATCCTCTGGCTTCATAAGCGTCTCCTTTCATATATCTAGTCCTTAATGTATTGTAACAACTTTATCGATTGTAAGTGGCCCAGTGTTCATTGCACTGTCTAGTCCATCCATCCTCACCCATGCAATAAACCATTCTTCATAATTAGCATGGTCGCTGCAGTATGATCAGGTCATTACAAGTCCTCTGCCACAGCCCTTAACTGGACAGATTTCAACAGGCGCCTGCTGGTGTGATCGGCATCATTATATTTTAATTAATCCATTCTTCTCACAGCAACACAGTAATTACAATCTATTTTATGACACGGCATGCTGAGAAAGACGAGATGGAAGAGACCTAAGAAGGCAGTGAGTGGGAATGGTAGCAAGAAAAGGGAAAAGAACGGAAAAGAGAGGTGAGGGCAGAGAGCTAGAGGCAGGATGAAGAGAGGAAGTTTTAAGGTGAGTGAGACAGAGAGCAGAGGTAAAACATCACCTATGCTATGACTGATTACCGATATGTCATTGCTTGGCTGACATTGTAAAAGCATTGTAAAAGCGTTTATACAATGTCTGGAGGAGCACAGGACTCTCTCTCTCTCTCTGATTCATGCTGCATACAGTGAGAGGGAGAAGCTCCATTTCCTCCAGCCGCTGTCTGTATAAATCAGAGCAGGTACTGACACCCAGACACGCTGTGGGTGTGATAATAATATTAGAGGATTACAATGACACTCCTCCCTGGACAAGAGCACCTGTCTCGTCTGTCATAAAACAGACCTCTGCTTTTTGTGGTTAAAGCACTTTATATGAGGAGAGTCTGTAGGTGTGTGTGCACATAAACGTGGCGTGTACACACATGGAAATGACAGTAGTGAATAGAAGATGCGTGATCATCACAGACTGTTTACTTGAGTAGACTTGTCATGTCACACCTGATTCCAGTTTAAGGTATAGACTCATATTTGTGTTTTTTTTCAGTTTTATGTTAAAATGTTCATGAGCAAGAGCTGTTTAACAGATCTGTGGCTCAAAACGTGTGGTCCAAAACCCAGAATGGGACCTTAAAGTGGTTTTAGCAGCCACTGTCACTTACATGAAATTGTGCAATATTGTGTTTTGTGATACTTAGCAAAGGTAATTTGAAAATGAATATACAATTGATGTGAAAAGGTGCATTTAAGATTTATGGACACTACCATACTGTAGATGTAGAATTAAGGTTCATCTACTATTTAAAAAATGGTCAGAATTCTGAAGGTGTCAAATACAATAGTTCAACAGTAACACGAGAGTTTATGGGTTTATAATAGCATAATGACCTGTGATATAAACGACTATCAGGCTTTCACAAAACTCCAGCCCTTCTGTTTTGTCCTTCTGTATTTGTGTTTTCCAGATCGTGTTGTTGGTTGGTACTGCGTTCCTGCTGTTTGACCTCATCACTGCCCATCTTGTACACTGTATTGTTTTAAATGCTCCTGACAAAGAAACACGTAACCCCCGTGAATCCACAACTTTCACTATTACAACCTTTACACTACACTTCTGTTTTTGTGAGAACAAAACCAACAAGCTATAACATGCTATTTATTAGGATTTAGAAAACCTGTTAGGGAGATGTTACTTTTGGACAGTCAAACTACCTGTTTCCAAACTTTAAGCTAACCAGATGCTAGCTGCCTTATACAGAAGCCACTGGATACAGTAGGTATGAAAGTGATCCTCTCATTTCACTATGGGCAATAAAGTAGATATGTGTATTTAACAAAATGTTGAACTACTGGTTTCAAGACATACAGCCAAACCTGATTGGCTCACATTGCTTAGATTGCCATAGCAATCAAAGGTTTCTGCCAAGCACTGTGGCTCAGTTTGCTGTAAAAAATAAATAAATAAATAAATAAATAAATAAAACAGGACTCATGACATATAAACTGCCTGATTAATGCATCGATCAGTTTGCATGTAAGCTTTGCTTAACAAGTCAGCAGACCACTGGGTCTAATGTTAAGGTGAAATAAGGTTAAATGTAATCTCAGTGGTGATACATGTTTATGTTGAAATGTTTGCTTGGACGTGTCACAGTACCTATGGTGAACATGGTATCCCGCTGCATTGATGTTCCAGCCACGCTCTCTGGGGTTAGGGATCTTTGCCGTCTTGGTAATCAGATGCTGAACATCCCTCCATGTCAGCTCAGGACTGAGGCAAGAGACATAAAACAGAATACCATCAAACACATCCTTCCTTCAGCCTGTGTTCTACACCGACTCTAACCACAGAGGAAACACTTTAACTCTGTGTGATACTCTGAAGGGAAACCTGCAGGGAAATCCACATGTGCTCTTGTCGTGTGTAGAAAGAGGATGGAGCACTGCTTATGGGCTTCCAGCACGTTCTATCACCCATGCATGCAAAGCTCATATTGCATTAATGCTGAGGTTTATTAATACACAAACTGCTACCATGAGACACCGCCAAACCTTTTACAGCAGGTCCTCTAGATATAAAAGCACCTGTTTAAGTCAAGCTTAAGGTTTTAATAATAGTGTCACACAAAAAAAACTGTGAATCCCACAAAGAATATTTGAGACTTTAACAAAAGAGCCTAGAGAGTTGAATGCAGAAAGTCTTCTTTTTAATCCCAGGCAGGGGAATTCTAATAGAGCGGACTCAAGTGTCATGTCAAGCAATATACTAATGGAATCCAATTAAGACCTTTAAACTGTGCCGAGAGCTGGAGGATATTAGCTCAGTTTTCTATAACAAAAGACCAAAGGGTCGTCAATGAGGGCTTTTTCACGATATAAAAAGCATAAAGGAAATTGGTTTTTTCTGCTTTATCCACTCATTATTGTTCCCTAAAAAAATGACTTGAATGGAGTATAAGAAAACCGCTTGGCCACCCATTCTGAACAGAGAAGAAACGCCTCTACTGTCTGCCTCAACATCTTTACATGGACAGTCATTTCTGCAGTACACAGGTGTACAACACTTAATTTCTCTCGTCATTAACTGACGCAGCTGCAATAAATCATGCATGTACTCAGCTACCTGTTAAGGTAGTGTGACTGTGTGGTAAATGTCTGCACAAAGAAAACCCCCTGAAAAAACACATCGCAAGTAGCATCTTCATTATTGTGCTGTTAGGTGTTACACATCTTAGGAAATATCAGGCACAGATGCAAACAGATGCATTCCATTCACGTATTGGCAAAAAATGAAGCAGAACAAAAGCTTAGAGAGAAGCTTTCATTAGCAGCGTAAAACAAAACCCCAGCAAGCAACGAGAGCAGGCTGCTAAAACAACATGACAGGAATAATACTAGTAACACTAATAATAGATGGATAGAGTGAAACAAAACACTACACACAAACAAGCATTTTAGGTTTTAATTTCAAAGGGATTGGCGAGTACGTGTGTGTACGTGTGTGTGTGTCTGGGGTAGGTTTTCTACCTTTGAACTGTTGCTGCTCACTGCACGCATCTGTGTGTGCGTTCGGTATCATTTATTAGCGGCAGCAGTGTGATTCTGTTGTGTGCCTTCCCCCCACCCACCTCCATCATCAACACCAGCACCACCATCTCGCCTCTGGTGGAATCAGAGAAAGCCCTGCGGCCCCGGCTGGTTTGCATAAAGCAAACAAAATTAAATTTGCTTTGCTAAATCAAAGCATGTATGGTATTCCAAGCTGCTCTCTCTGGGACAAATTACTTCAAACAGCCTCCTTTGTATCATAACAGAATAATATAAATAAATAAATAAATAAATCAGCCCAATCAGCGGCTCTCTAGAACCCTCAACTTGGGAATTAATTATTGAACTGAGGGCTTTTCTCTCTCCTAGCAGTCCGCGACACAGATCTATTTATTTTAGAAAAGTCATTTTGCTCTTAAAAACACCTAGTTTACTGCTATCTCTCTCTCTGTGTTTTCACTCCGCTTTGCCACACAACCCCTGAAGGGACATGTGAAAAGGTCTACGCCATGAAATTTATCTGAAAAGCCAGCGACCAGCATCCACCATAGTGCTGGTTAAAGTATTGCCTGTGCTGTAATGGACTTAAGATGAACTGGGCTGTTAACTTGTGAGTTTGATTTCACATAGAGGTGGCGCCTATTTTTCTCGGGATGTGTTTTCTCCTCCTGTTAGTTTTGATTTGACTACAAGAAAGCACATTTTATACATGGAATAGATTGTTCATAAAGTTTGGTAAACAGCTCAATTAAGTGCAGGCTAATTTAGAAACATTTCAGAGGTTAGTTGTTATTTACTGCAGTGAAAATCTATCTACATATTCTCCTCAGTATTATATGCTACTGTACATGTGACGTATTTGATGAAATCATTTTGTTTGTATTTTTATAATAAACATTCATATCAACTGCTGTCCTCAAATGCAAAGTAGACTTGAACCAAAAGTTAAAAGCAGCACTGTGAAAAAACTAACAAAAGAAAAAACTCCCATAGCTTGGTACATAAAAGCAAACGGTGCAACACAGCTAAGACAGTAGGTACTTTACTGTTGTTCAAGTTCTCTAGTTGACTTCAGTGTTAAAGATTTGGGTATATTTCATTCTCTTCTGTGGGTGGACCTGCCAATCATCGTGATTTCTTCCAAAATTTCAAAGTGTGGTTTCACCAAAACTTTGACTAAAGTGTTTTTGAAAGAATATAAGACTGATTCCTGTGGACATCAAGTGACTCGCAATTAGGAAAACCTGAAGTAATGCGAGTTTGACATACGCCACACCTTCAACTTATGCATGATATAAAGCCTAAAATTTTACAGAGCCAAGTCACAGATGATCTCACTCAGTGAAATCTGTCTTTATTACTGTCAAATGATATTATACAGACAAGGACTTCTTCTGGTAGATAAACAGCAATAGAACAAGAGAAATAGAACAGGAAATTCACATCACTGCTACTAATACAATAAAATGATACCATTTTGCCCAGTATGCGCATGAACATGAATGAGTTGCTGCTCACATGAGACTAGGGCAAAGTACAACAATATATGAGCCTCCTCCAGACCCCAGCAGCCTTCATCCCCTCGCCAAGGCTCACAAAGCAGCACAGCAGCTGTCACAGTGAGCACACAACTGTTTACAAATCCCTAGTTAATAGGATCAGGCCTCATTGACTGGGCTGCTTCGATGTGTCTGATGTAATCTATTAGCTGTGTGATAGTCAGTGTCTCAGTCCAATCGATAACCCTGGGCCTCCATATTGCTCCACTGTGGACTGTTACTCCTCTTTAGTGCTGCTTAGAATGCAGGCTTAGTGACTATAAAGTGTGCGTGTGTGTCTATTTACTTGTGTGTCTTTGTGTGTCAGCGAAGCACTTGTTGGGATTTTTAACAATGGAGTCAGTGTGTGTGTGTGTGTGTGTGTGCGTGTGTGTACAGACTCGTTTTGATTTTTAAAAATGGAGACAGTGTGTGTGTGTGTGTGTGTGTTTGCGTGTGTGTACAGTAAGTGTGTATCCCTGCATAGGAAACATGAATAGCACTGTGCTGTATTACGTGCTTCATTTTGTTCGTGTGAAAAGTTAAATCATAAAACATACATAGCACATCCTTGGGCAGATGTTAATTTTGTTACACTTTAATGCATGGATGCATTTGGGGACTGTGTGTGTTGTGTAATTATGTTAAGATTTTTAATATCTATGTACCTATACACGGGTGAATTACTGTAAAATGGTGCATATGTTTGTATTAATGTGGCTTTACAGTGGATGGAAGAGCATCTTTGTACATGTGTGTATGTGTCTACTGTGTTTGTATGTGTCAGAGTGTGTCTGTAGCTAGTAACTGGGTTTCCAATTAAGTTGAACCACAGGCTGGATCAATGCTAGTCCTCTGTGTGCAGGAATGAGCAGCCCTGGGCCCTCAGAGCATGCCCACGAATAATTTATCACTCACACTGGGTCCAGGCAGAGAGGAGGAGGAGGAGGAGGAAACCGAGAGTGCAAGGACAAAGTGTCCAGCCCAGGGGAGAGAATGTAAAAGATGGGCAATTGAGGAGACAGAAAGATAGAGGGTTGAAGAAAAAGAGAGAGATCAAGACCCAGAGGAAAACACTGTAAGCTCCTGATCACTTAGAAGCATCACATTCAACATTTTTCTGGTAAACAACCATTGAAAATTAAATTCTGCAGGGAGAGCAAACCACATAATTCTTTTTTACACAATATACTGTACACGGTATCTGGTGATGCTGAAAGTACTGTAGTAAAGATGGGTGAAATATGTGACATAAAAATGAAGCAACGGGTCAGTTTTCCAAAAATTCTGTTTTATAAATCTATCTCTAACATAATGACAGGTCCTGTTGATTTGATAACATACAGTATTTTGTATATACTGTATATTATATTTACATCCCTTCTCTCCACCCCATTGGTCTATTACCTATCCTGTCAGGTTGAAGGTTTGGATCTCGGTGCCTGCAGTCCACATGTGGACGTGTTCTTGGGCAAGACGCTGAAACCCAAGTTGCCCGTGATGGCAGCGTGTATGCACGCAGTGGCCCGGGGCCCTCGACTCCAAACAAAATTTTGTTGTATGTGTCACAGTGTTACAATAAAGTAAAGCTTCTGTACATTCGTTTATTTTTATATATTTCTATTTGCACTTTTGCAACAATTTGAGCTCTATGGTTACATGCTAACCTGCATTTCATTATAATGATACTGGTGCTGGTAATATCCTTAAAAGTGGGGATGGCCCTAACAGGTCAAATTTAAAACTTGAGTAGGACAAAAAATTAGCTAACATCAACTTTAATATTTCTAAGAAGACTGAGCCTCTGCACTGACAGCAGCTCTTTGAGGCTGTGCTTATTGTAGGTACAGAGGTGCTTTGAGCTAAATGCTCAAATGAATACAGTGGCAGCGCTTGTGTTTAGCAGTTTACTGAGTTAGCATGCTAATGTTTGTTAATTAACAGTAAACACCAACTACAGCTAAGGCTGATGTGAATGTGCACTAGACAAATTCTGATGAGATGGTGTCACGAGATGCAAGGTGAGGGATCACCAACTTTATTACAGCTCATCCTGGGTGGAATATGAATGTCTGTACCAAATTTCATTGTTATCCATCCAATAGCTGTCAAGATAATTTACTCAAAATCACAAATGCCAGCCTCATGGTGGTGTTAAAGGAAAAGTCACCAGGATCACTAGGAT